AAACCTAAAGCACAAGTTGAACCCAAAACAACCATACCACCATTATTCGCATGAAAGAGAAACATAATAGCCAAATTCTCCGACCCTTCCTGATATATATCAGCTGTTTCTCTAAATAATTTTGGACAATTTACTTTTAGCTCATCCTCTTTACGCAGGAGAGGAAAACTTTTGCAAAGTGACTAATGTCAAATTAATAGATAGTAGGGGATGGGGGCGTCCTAGAGTTATTCCAGTAGTACCACCAGCAGATCCTGCGGGAGATCCTATTATCGAGGAGCAGGGCGAGGTGCCCGCAGCTGAGCCCACCCCGGCAGACTTTATGACAGCACCGGGATTTCAGGAAGTTATGAGCCGTATACTTCGGTTCATGGATTCTATGACTCAGGCTGGTTTATTTCCAGCAGATTCGGCTACCTCACAGGCAGGAGGGGGGCACAGACCCCTACTGCTCAGGCTCCTGGACATGCAGCTGCAGTGTATCAGACTCCGGGTGCACTACCCGCAGATGGGGGCCAGCCAGTTGCTGCAGTGGCGCCCCAGCTCAGGCCAGCTGCTTGATGGCGATCCGCAGAAGTTGTTGGATAGATGGACTAGGCTTCACCCTCCGGTCTTCGGGGGCGAGCGTCATGAGGATGCCCAGGACTTCATTGACAGGTGCAGGGACAGGCTGCACAACATGAGGATATTGGAGTCGCATGGAGTTGACTTCACTACTTTTCAGCTTGAGGGCAAGGCCCGCAGATGGTGGCAGTCTTATGTTCTGGGCAGGCCAGCAGGTTCTCCTCCTATCACTTGGAGTGAGTTCACACAGTTGTTTCTGGACAGGTATATTCCACCCTCTGAGAGGGAAGAGCTGCGGTATCAGTTTGAGCAGCTAGAGCAGGGCCAGATGTCCGTGACCAATTACGAGGCGAGGTTTTCTAAGCTATCCCGCCATGCATTGATGATAACTAAACCAAATAAAATGTAATTTCGTTCCATTGTGAAAGCCGCACATAATCATAAGTAAAGAAACCTAACAGAAAATGAAAGTCCAAATTCACCTATGGCAAACATATTATCAAGCACCTTAGGTGCATAGTCCACTTCAAATTAGTAGTTGGTAACAAAGACAAAATTCATCAAACTAACATAATGCACGTATAAATCAGGAACAATTACTAACATCCATGCATGTATAAATCTACCAAGACATTATTAAAAAGAATAGGGAAAATACATAGTTTACCCATTAATCTTGCAGCGAAATTCCTGTTACACACCTCTCTTTCACGAGAAATTTTGAACACACTCAACCTTTCAAAAGTGTATCTAAGACACACTACTTTTGACCAGATAGCACTTGCGTGTTTACACACAAACAAAAGCACGTGAAGCCCGTAAAAAACTCATTTTTTGTCTCCCCTCCCCACAGGAACCCCTCCCCCTCCCTTCGGTCTTCTTCCTCACTACCCTCCCCCTCATTTTCTTCTCCAAATAGAATTTTTTTGAAAAAACATATCAATTTTAGATCTAAAATTGAGCGGATTTTGTTGGTTTATTGTCCAAATATTGTGAAAACTATTTATTTGAGATAGATTTAAAAGCTTTAACAGTAGTATTGAAGGTTTTGTGAAAAAATCTAGAATCCACCATTGTTGAGGTATCGAAAAAAGCTTGAAAACTCTTATTGGGTTATTGAACTCAACTTCTTTGCTCGATTATTTTCGGCTAGTTGTTTAGATAGTATGGCTGAATTTTGGTGTTGGTGGAAACTTTCTCACAAATAACCATGATGGTAGCAACAATGATGCTTAAGATAGAAAATGGAAAGATGAAGAAAATGGATTTTAATTTTAATTCTAATATTTTTTTTTCCTTTTTAAAGTCAATGACACGTGTCACGACCCTATTAGGGTGTGACTTTCACGTTATCTGAAAAATTATTCAAGCACAAAAACGGTGTGTCTTAGATACACTTTTGAAAGGTTGAGTGTGTAAAAAGTTTCCCATGAAAGAGAGGTGTGTAACAGGAATTTCGCAGCAAGGTTAATGGGTAAACTATGTATTTTGCCAAAAGAATAGGAAACGAACATGCATATATGCACGATTATAATATACACACATATTACAAATAAATAAATTGCAATAAGAAAGAAAAAAAATTACACAAAACAACTCCGAAAACAGAGAACTCGCACCAAACAAAATGGACAAACTCTAAGAAAGTGAAGACTGAAAATATGTTGACGAGAAAAATCGCCATAATGTCTCCGGCGAGTTACAAAGTAAAGACAATGGGGTAACCTAATTGCTAAAGACGTTTAGTCTCTGTTTTGATATGAAGGTATTCTTTGGAGAAAGAATTTTAGAGTAACAAGATGAGGACACCTGTCAGAGATTCAACATTCAAATGGTGGACAACTGTGATGTTCCGAAAAATTCTTACTTAGGCCATTTTAGTAATAGCTTGTATAAATAATACTATCTCTTTTTAATTAATTTTCTGAAAGTTTGTTAGGAGTTGGTTAGGATAGAATCCCTTGGCCTCGTAAGGATCTTTTCCTTTTTGGTATATATACATAGCTTCACTGTACATTACATACACAGAGATTTATCAATACAAAAATTCTTCTATGATGAAATTCTTCAAAACCTTCAAAACACACCACCCTATTCAAAACAAAAAAAGTGAGCAAAAAGAAAAGAAGAAAAAGAATTACTACAGCTGATGAAAGAGAGAGGAGCAGAAAACTGTAAAAGTAAGCAAAAAGGAATTAGAGAAGAAGAGAAACCTACCATAGAAAGAGAAACAGAGCAAACAAAAAAGCTGAAGAAGATGCTTAAGAGAGAGAGAGAGAGATTAATAAAAATAAGAGAGAAATGCTTACGAATTTGTGAGTGGGTCTGTCCCACATAAAAGTGGAACAATGAAATGACACGTCAAATCTAACACCAAATGAGCAACGACACGTAGGGGTGTTCATAAAAACCCGAAAAATCGAACCAAACCGGAAGCCAAACCAAACCAATCAAAAAAATCGATACTTTTTGGTTGGTTTGGTTTCAGTTTTGAATTTTAAAAATCGATCAAATTTGGTTTGGTTTTGGTTTTATCAAAAAATAACCGAAAAAGACCGAACCAAACAGATTATAGGAGTAGCTATTTCAAATTTATTATTACACCTATATATATGTATATTTTTATAAAAAGTTTCAAAATTTTTTATGGTGAATGTTAATCGTTTGCACTTTTAGTACAGTTCTTTACCTTTACATTCTAGTTTGATTGGTAATTTTCTTTTGTTAAGTGTAAGAATTCATTTCATGTTAAAAAAATATATATTTTTGATTGAGTCCTTAAATTATTCATCACTATTTGATTCAATTATTGTCAATATATCTTAGTAAATAATATATTTCTCAAAGGACAATTGATTTGATAGTGTTACGTTGAAAATGTGGTCGCCGGAATATGTGTTTGGTAGTGTATGCCTTATATTTAAGAAAAAACCGACAAATAACCAAAAAACCAAAAAACCAACTAAACCCGACATAAATCGAATCAAGAAAAACCGACTTAATTGGTTTGGTTTGGTTCGAATATTTGAAAAACCGACTTACTTGGTTTGGTTTCTTTTTAGGGAAAAACTGATCCAAATCAAACCATGAACACCCCTAACGACATGTATTACATAGTAATGGGAAGCATACTATACATGGAACTTACTGCACTACTGGAAGGACTAAGGTTCGCCCTCCAATATAAATACACTCCACTGGAGATTAATGTGGTATCAACAGAGGTAATTTTAACCCTTCTCTCGAATAATTACCACTACTCATCTTTGATTGATGAATGCAGGTACCTACTACATCAACTGGGTAGCCCTCGAATGACATATGTATACAGGGAGCAGAATTAAGTGGCAGATCTACTGGCCAAACAAGGAACAACTATCTCCATGCAAAATCCATCGACCACACTTTTGGAACCACCACTATTTGCTATGCCTCAGTACATGGATGATCACCGTGGCACACTCTACAAACGTTCCACAACTGATTCCAAGATTTTGGAACATACTTCTTTTTGTTTACATATGCTATCACAAACTATGTCCCACACTTGCATGGGTACACAACGATATTTTTGTAATAATGTTTCTCCAAATGCTCCTTGTACACTCCTTAATATATAAAAGTATGCATCTTGTGACAAAAAAAAAAAGGCTTACTTTTTACCCACGCTTAATTACGGGAATGCCCTTCGTCGTACAAAAGGCTTCCTCTTATTATATAGTAGTTAATCTAAAGTTCACATTTCCATGTTTTCCTTTTCTTTTAATTTTGGTAAAATTATTTTTCTCTTGCAATGTTGTATAAGAAGTCAAAAATTGATCCTTTGAAGGGATGACAAAATTGAATGGATTAGGAATGGTTAATGACTTGGTTAGGTGTCACCATGTAATTTTAGTAATTAAATTGGTTAGAAGTCATAGTAGTAATAAACGTGGGATAGTGACAAGCAAAAAAATTCTGCATATTGATACTTGGAATTACTCAGCAGTGATTCAATCACTTCTGAAAGTCAATTAACAACCAAAGAAACGCATCCACTAAGTTAAAAGGAAAAGCATTAGTTCATTACCAAGAGAACTTCCATAAAGGTATTGCATTTAGTCCACGGACAAAATCTTCCACGAAACGAGCTAGTAGGAAGACACAATCTGAAAATTTTCTTGTCCAAATACCTGCACCAAACTTTAGCATCATCAACTACGTACAAAATCCCACTTAGATTTATCTCGTTAATTAATTAATATATTATCCAACGAAATACTACTAGCAAATAAGATGGATGATGAGTATAGAAAACCTTGGTTGGATGTCAGTTCGAAACCACGTTTTGGTAGCAGTCAACAGTCAAAAACCTATCCTATAATATAATCAAACAGTAGGAAACCAATTGCCTATAAATATGTCCCCTCTTCAATAGAAACCTTAATCATAAAAAACCTACGGATAAAATTAAAGAATACTTGTTTGATAAACCTTTGGGAACAATTAATATTCTTTTTCCGTGCTACCTTTTTGCAATATAAGTAGATGAAGAGGTTTAATACTACTTTATTAGTATTCTTAGGCCTTGTTGTTGTGTGCTGTGTTCAACCAGGAAAAGGAAGTAGGTTGTTGCATGAAAAAGAGTTGATGAAATTGCAGTCTCTTCAAAGAGGTCCAGTCCCTCCATCTGGACCATCTGGTTGCACCAATATCCCTGGAAATGGTGGCTCTGGCTCAGGTTGCCCACTCAATGAAATGCACTTTGCTGGTCGACATGTTAATTTGTTAAGAGCTACTTCTGCCTATCCCACCAGCCTCATGGTTCATTTTGGTGTCGCTGTTAATCGGGATGAAGCTCTTCTATAGTGCAACAACTGCTTTACCCATAAAAAAAATTATATTAGCAAGATGGTTTCTTTTATTTTATTTTTTTAATTCTTTACATTAATTTCTTGGAACTCCTTTTTGGATTTCCTTTGGGAGGGTTGGTGGGAGACCGCTAGCTAGCGTTTCAGATATTCCATTTTTTTCATTTGTTTGTAAATTAGGTATAGAAGATATTTGTTTCTCAATTGTATGCCAATTTGTTGATCATATAAAAGATCTTGTTTAAGCATATTCTTTCCCATATGTTGTTAACGGAGGAAATTATTATATCATTAATGCTGCATGTTGGATAAAAAAAAAATACCCGAAGCTTCAGAGTGTTCAATTGGACAATGGCATTAAATTAAACATAAGGAGAACTCATCAATTTTATTTTGTGTTACATGCAGAATAAAGTGAGGAACGGAACAAAATCGAATAATTCAAATATTCTTTCCAATTAGCACCTTAAATTATCATTTAACTTAGACGTACGTTTGTGTGATCTTTGCGCGCAGTTATTTCCTTTTAACATGCCTCAGCATTTTTATTTGAACGCCAAATTGAATAAATATACCATTCTGAACCGTAAATAATGAATAAGGCTGCCATGTATGTTTCATACCACTTTCCTTAATAATAAAGTTAGGTTCTTAAAATTGAAACAGTAGATTGCTTACTGGATAACATTGATATATGGTTTCAATCCTTCGGTGGAAGATGACTAAGCATGCAACACAAAGCTTCACTGATTGGCGATTGATCAAATACACAAACTAAAAAAGAACCTTGTTTGAACAATTTGAAAAACACGGACTCGGTCACAACGAAAATCAGTGGTACCAGGTGATCCCACTGGAGCAACATTAGCTGTGACCAAAGGGTTTTCCCTCTCAATTGTTTCTTTTGCAGTCTGGCCGTTCTCCCCAACTAGTTCCGGCAGTGCACTCTTTCCTGTATAATAAATTCAAAATAAAAGAGATTTTATATATCTATACTACTTTTGAAACTTATTTACCTTTAATATTGAAGTTTTAACTTAATCACAAGTTGATATATAATTTACTATTTATATACAAAATAATGCATTAGACTCCAATTTTATCCATTTTCTCTCCATGTTCTTCCTTCCCCATTTCATTCTCTTCTTCCCTCCTTAATATTCTCATTTTGATGTTCAGAAAAAGGAATTGGATTAAGCTACTCATTGAACTTGCTAATCTTGATTTCCTAGATACTCAATTAAAATTAATTTTCGAAATACTCAATTACGGGAAAATATCGGACGCATTGCTCACCCGCATAAGATTTGAAGTTTCTCATCACCATCTCTTTAATGAATAGATATTGGCAGTCATTAAAAAGCTTCGACGCTTTGAATTGGAAAATTAATTTTGCAAATTGGTATTAATTTATTTGGATTAGGTATTGTTGCAAATGATTAAAAGTATCCTTTGGAGTTTATATCTAAATTTTGAGAGAATTTGGTGAAGATTCGAGGTGATTTTGGTTAAAATTCAAATTGAAACTCGAAGAAAAAGACATAAACAAACTGTATATATTTTGTATGTCTGGTGTAGAAATGGTCAAACGACATGGAGTACAAAATATATACGACTAACATAATTGTATACAAGTTGAATATAAATTGTATGTAAATTATAGTTTTTAATCTTATTCTGTAGGAAAAAACTGTATTTTAATTTATAAATAAATTAAAGATTTTGACCAGATTTATATATTTTATTAAAAACTTTCGTTAATTTCTGTAAACAGGAAAACATGGATAAACCGGGTAAATAAGTTTGAAATTTCGTGTCCATATATATGAAAAAGTATAATAAAATAGATAGTTAATGTCACGACCCCAACCCCGGTCGTGATGGCGCCCAACACATTGCTAGGCAAGCCCGACCAATCCAATAACCTTAACCATTTATACAACTCATGAATTTATTAACACAGTTAAATTAATAAGTCATAATACTGAATATCTGAAATAAAGTTCGAACATGCGGAAAACCCAAGTAAAAATACTACTACACAGCCCGAAGAATCCGGTGTCACAAGTCTGAGCCTCTAATATACGAGTGTCAACCTACTACATAATAATCTGAGGAAATGCGGAATAAAATAAATAGGACAGATGGGAAGATCAGGACTGCGGACGTCATGCAGCTACCTTGATGCTCCCGGATATGATGCTCGACAGAGAAAGTCTCACTCAGCCTCCGTGGGTGCACCTGAATCTGCACACGAGGTGCAGGGAGTAACGTGAGTACTTCCAACTCAGTGAGTAATAAACATAAATAAAGGCTGAGAATAAGAAATCCTGAATAGACACAAAGTAATTCTATAAATACAACAACTTGAACCCAGCAGTATGAAATCCAGTAAAACAATGAAAACAATTACAGAAATATTAGAGCAGATAAGTAAATAAATGACAATTAATAATATGCAATGCAACACATAGACCGGTACTCTCCAGTACCCGCTGCGGCGTGCAGCCCGCTCCATTTATTTATCGTCGACGGCGCTCACTGGGGGTGTGCAGACTCCGGGAGGGGCCCCTTACGGCCCAAACGCAATAATAAGCCATCTCATGGCATCAACTAGGCTCTCGGCCTCATATCAATATCAGTATCATACCGCTGCGGCGTGCAGCCCGATCCTATGCTCAGTCCAAAATCACATCAGCCTCTCGGGCACAATAATATAGAAATATTCAGCCCAAACTTCATTTAAAAATATTAATTAAGTTTCAAGTTTAAGAAAAAGTGGCTGAGTTTGCAAAACAGTATTAAATACCAGGATTGAGTTCAATGATATGTAAAAATAGTAAGAAACCAGTAATAATAATCCCTGAAGGATTTAATCAATTGGCACGAAGCCCAAACATAGCAATTAGCTCAATTAAAGCGATAATAAGTGAATTTCAGTCAAATACGCAGTATATTCATCTACCGGGACGGACCAAGTCACAATCCCCAACGGTGCTCTAGCCCACGCTCGCTACCCGACGTGCAAGTCACCTCAATATAGCACTACGATGTGCAAACACGGGGTTTCAAACCCTCAGAACAACATTTACATCTATTACTCACCTCAAGCCGGCCAAAGTCCTAGCTCGCTATGCCCTTGCCTTTCGAATTGACCTCCTCGTGTACCGAATCTCAATGAAGTTCCTTGATTTCTCCCTTCCAACTCGCCCAAATTCTCCAAGTTTGAAGTAAAAATTATGAAACCCTTTGAAATTTCGCGAAGGAGAAATAAAACTTCACTGACCAGTTATTTCCGCATCTACGGCTCCTTAGCCGCATCTGCGACTTCCGCTTTTGCGGTTACAAGTCGCTTCTGCGGACTAAATCTCTTCTGCGGTGACAAGACCGCTTCTGCGGTTCCGCACAGCGATTCCATTTATGCAGATTCGGTTTCCCTTAGTCTTCCAAAATTCTGCATCTGCGGTCCCATTGTCGCATCTGCGACTCCGCAGATGCGGTCACCCACTCCGCACCTGCGATACCTGCCGCTTTTGTGGCTCATAACTCGCTTCTGCGGTACCGCTTCTGCGGTCCCCTTTCCGCAGAAGCGAAAATACCAGAAGCAGCACAGGTTCTGCAACATTACAAGTCCAAAACTCCCCGTTAGCCACCCAAAAACACCCCGAGGCCCCCGGGACCTCAACCAAAAACACAAACATGATCCAACACCTTATTCAAACTTGCTCGAATCATCAAAATACCACAAATAACACCTAAGCCATCAAATTACATCAAATTCAAGCCTAAATTCATCCAAATCTTCCGAAACTTGCATTCGATCAAAACCCGACCAAAACACCTCCGAATCAACTGAAATTTTGCACACACATCCCAAATCACCTAACGAAGCTACTGCAACTCTCGGAATTCCATTCCGACCCTCGGATCAAATTCTCACATATCAACCGGAATTCGCCAAAATACTAACTTCGCCAATTCAAGCCTAATTCTACACTGGACCTCCAAAATTACTTCCAATCACACTCTTAAGTCACAAATCATCCCCCGAAGCTAACCGAATCATCGGAATTCATATCCGGGCCCTCTAACACGTAAGTCAACGTCCGGTTGACTTTTCCAAAACAAACCTTCCTTAAAGAGACTGAGTGTCTCATTTCCTACTAAAATCAATCCAAATCAACTCGTTCACACCCAACACTGATAATGAAGCATAAATCAGCAGAAAATGAGGGAAACGAGACGGTAACACACGTGACGACGGGTTGGGTCGTCACAGTTAATTAGTCCAAAATTCTTGATAATTTTTCAATAAATTATACTATCAAACACTATAGTGCATGTGAAGTACTTATGAACTCTATTTCTTTTCACTAAAAAATAATTATGTATTGTGTATTGCTTTTTGTACTGTGTATTGCTTAGTGAAATCACCTTGACATGCCATTTTGCACTGTGTATTGTTTTTTGTAGCTGTGATACCTTCTTTTTCTTCGGTGTACTTTAGGGTGTTCATAAAAATCCGAAAAATCGAACCAAACCGAAAACCAAACCGAACCGATCAAGAAAACCTTTACTTTTTGGTTTGGTTTGTTTTTGGTTTTGAATTTTAAAAACCGATCAAATTTGGTTTGATTTTGGTTTTAATCAGAAAAAAACCAAAAAATCGAACTAAACCGACTATCGGAGTAGTTATTTTAAATTTATTATTACACCTATATATATATATGTATATTTTTATATAAAGTTCCAAAAATTTTATGGTAAATGTTAATAGTTTGCCACTTTAGTATAGTTCTTTACCTTTACATTCTAGTTTGATTGGTAGTTTTCTTTTGTTAAGCGTAAGAATCTATTTCGTGTTAAATATAATATATTTTTATTGAGTCCTTAAATTATTTATCACTATTTGATTCAATTATCATCAATATATCTTGGTAAATAATAGATTTTCAAAAGGGCAATTGATTTGATACTGTTACGTTGAAAATGTGGTCGCCGGAGTATGTGTTTGGTAGTGTGTGTCTTATAGTTAAGAAAAAACCGACAAATAACCGAAAAAATCGAAAAACCGACAAAACCTGACATAAACCAAATCGAGAAAAAATCGACTTAATTGGTTTGGTTTGGTTCTAATATTTGAAAAACCGACTTACTTGGTTAGGTTTCTTTTTAGGGAATACCGATCCAAACCAAACCATGAACACCACTAGCTATACTTGATTATGGTATGACCATATAATGGGTA